AAGGAGGGGGCTTTGTAGAAAACGAAGCGTTTGAGAGAGGCGGGGCATAGAGGACCTACAATAATGTACAGTATTTGAAAAATAATGTGTTTTTTTAACATTAAAGCATGTCAACATATTCTGTTACACCAAATACACAAAATAATGATCTTTAAAAAAGCATCATATGACCCCTTTAAAGAACAAAACCTGAGGAACTATTTAGCAGTGAGATCCTGTAGAGGTGAACAAATACCGTATTTAAATGTGTGCAGTATGACTACACTGTCTGTTTATGGCCAGATGGTGTCGCCAACGGTCCTTATCAAAAAGGTCTCTCTCACTTGGACTTTACTGTAATACAAATGAAAAGTGAGTGAATGGGGGTAAATGTGTTAACATGATGACAGTCTGATGAGCAAACTGCGTGACTTTAAGTGAACATATTTTTTCTACTTTTTTTTTTTCTTCACAAAAAGACCTTTATGAATATCCTAGAATGGATTCCATGTTATTCTATAACAAGAATAGTAACGCAAAATACATATAGGGCTGGGGGACCCTGTAGTAGGCCGTACACATATAAAAGACCATATTACTTTAGTCAGGATTTTATAAAATAATTTTAAATAGTAATTATTTCATAACATTCATTTGCATCACATGTTTCCCCAGTATTGTGCAGTATTTTATCTAAATTGCTTATGCCATGTTGCTCTGTATAAAGGGATGCACCTGCTACTGTAATCTAGTTCTCCATAAAAGAGATCTCAACTCAACAGTGAAGCAGGAACAGAAAGTGTTAGCTTGAATTCACACACATTAAAAACATCTGCGTGATTTTAAAGAATTCACTACGATTTACTTAATCGACCCAGAACTCCTTACATTTCCTATTTCACCAAAGTGCATGAACAAACAGATCCACATGATCAGCTATCGTTCAACTACAGTAAAGCATCTCTGTCTCTTTAAAATACATGCAGCCTACGCCTCGAAAAGCGGCTTGTTCCGGCTTTGCCCCTTTACATCTTTATCCTTGCCCCCTACATGAAAATAGTACCCTGCACAATAATCAACAACAACATCGTCTGTGATATTCTGCTGAAAAAGCACAGTTCCAGCATCCAACCGAGTCATTTGAAGTTTAAACAAGCGCACCCACAGCTCTATTCGGGATGCGAGCATCCGCGGCGGAGTGATATCGAGTCTGAATCTCGCTGCTTGACGGATCTTTGAAGTTGCGAATCCTACTATGGCGAAGGCTTGGCTAATGAATATTAATTGTGTATTAAGAAAGTTGCTTGGTAACTTTGGAGAGTAGCTAAAGCTGGGAATCGGAATGAATAATGATTATAAAACAACCACAAGTTGCCAAATAACTACACCAAATTTAGTCCCATTATCTCAAGTATCCTTTCACGCATCATTTCAAGTTACACGTTTCAGTAACATTCAATAGCAGAATAGCTTACTGTAATAACTGAGTAAGAAAAACACTACAAAACTGTCACTAGGTAGGTAGCATATGCAAACTTTAGGCATAATTACTAATATGTACTTTTAAAATAGCCTACTAATAATATTTACCTCTAAGGTACTAATAGATACAATTTAGGGCTAAATAAGGTACAACGATGAATCTTTTAGCTTTTCTAGGATGCCGCCCAAGTGACAGGTTTGTGTACAGTAAAGGTGAATGCTTGGCTCATGAATATTGATTAGGTAACGCAGACGTCATGTTGTTGTCATCCAATGGCAGAGGCTTGGCTTTTTAATATCCAAACAGACGTCCTCGTCGTAGTAGATTTCGTGTCTTCGCTGACGGTCATGGGAGTGTACCTGCTCATGCTGAACATGTCGCGCTGTCAGGGAATGCGCTCCCAAATCTCTGGAAATGACATATATGATTTAATGTGATGTCCGGACGGAATAAAAAGGACGCCAAAAATTCGGGAAAAAGAAGTTCGGCTCGGCTGTGAATAACTGAATGCGATGAAGAATTTGGTCTTGATGGCGAAGTGCACGTAAACTATGGACGGTTATGATGATACTCTGTGTCGCCTACGGTAAGTGCAAGTCGCGCGACTTTGACAGTATTGGGAAGTAACATTGAGGATCGCTGCTGGTGTGGCGCGCGCGGCTAAAAAGATGTGCGCGAAAACATTATGCAACATCATCCCTACAATAAATACAATTATTTGCCAAACTTTTCTCCATGAAAACAAATAGCCAGGGAATGGACATTGATGCATGAGCAACAGCATGTCGCGTTGCTTTAAGTTTGTTGCACTGCTAGTTATTTGCGCGAGAATTGCCTATTGCATTTGGAGTATTCATGGTGTGCATTGCATTAGATCTAATTCCATGCTATTTCATATTTCAATGTCTAATAGAACGCTTGGCTAAGATTCATAATCAGTGATTAATCCTTTTCATGATGATTTAGTGAACCTGATGATCCACGTTGTATATGTAAGAAAATAAAGTTGATCTGTACTGGAGTAAGTTTATAGGTGCGCAGCTGTCAGTGAAGTTGCACAACAAAATTAGCGCTCAAACAGACTTCCGCGTCTTAAGAACAATTGATTATTCCACCTTTCGTTCATTCGATCAACCCAAAGCTTTAGATAGTGTTCATTTTCCATGCATAGCCTACTAATCATGATGCTCGGAGTTCTTCACATTTGAAAGACACATTATACAAAACGCAATATTTTCCGACAGAAGACAATACATTTAAGTAGTTTCAGTTTCATTATACACTGTAAAGAGTGTAAATGCGTTCTTGTTACTTTGATGGTGGTTTCTACCATGAGGGGGTTTCTACCTGATTCCATTCTTAAATCGCTGCAGTCTCACGCTCATTCGGGCATATTAAATTATAATGTTTTTTTTTTTACTCGAATAAATCCAGTTAATTTAGTCGTTACCACATTTTTACGTTACCTGACAAAATATAGTCATTTACAGGCGTAACCAATATGGCAAGCAGCAGTCAGTGTGAACAAAAAATAGCCTATAAAAAATTTATTTCGTCAGGAGGCCGCAGGTAATGTAGCCTGGAACGATTATGAGCAAAAGTTCTTCCAGTAGCCTAACGTTAACCAATGTTTTCTTTTCCGGAAATGTTGTTGTTGGACGTTTGTCTGACATTTTCTGAATGTTACTACTTGTTTCAGAACGTTTAGAGAACATTCAAAAGTAATGTTCCCATAATGCCTTTCAGAGAACGTTCATAAATAACGTTTTTATAACTTAATGGGAACGTTAGCAAAACATTCTTAGAACATAGAACTTGTTGATATTCAGAACACAGCATGACTGCAAGTTATTTATACAATAATAACAGTGGTTGACAAGTTAACTGAAGTTGAGAAATGGACCCATTACTTTGGTGACCATCTTTTTATTATACTATTATACTATATTATAAGGAGAGCAGATTTCATTTTGCTGTCTATTCGAATGTGTGTCTGTTGGTGGGGCAAAATAGTGTATGTGTGTAGAAGTATGAAGTAGACAGAGGAGATGTCTGGGATGGCAAGGACAGGATGTTCCAACTTTGGGGTCACAGCGACCTAAAGATATACTCAAGCACACATTGGCACCCATTACCCCTCAGCATTCCTAGGGTTCAGGTTCTGGGCCTGTCAATATATTGGCGCAAGTGCTTTCCATGAAACACAAGGGACTATCCATCAAGGGACTAGGGTGCCAGGTGCACATTTTGTTGTTGAAATTGGTCATTTTTTATGTTTCGTCCTGGGCTGAGTTGTTGTGTGTTTCTTATGGTGATGGTTGAGATGTGAGAGGGTTGAAATAAATCTAAATATTTACGACTTTGTATTATGTGATATATACACTTCAGTGAAATATTTAGATGACAATTTGGAAAGGATGACAGCAGTGTGTAAAACATGTTACGTTTTAGCCTACTGTAAAAATTACTTTCATAATAGTTGCAAACATTTTCCTGTTTATCTTCAGAGTTTCTATTTTCTGCAGTGCCCTAGTCACATGGTGACAAGACAGTGAAGTGATTTTCTGTTTATGAGCTTGAAGTGATCTTTTGTATTTTTTTTCGTATAGCACCGCGTTCCACACATGACGTGCTCAGTTCAAGCAAACCAATTTTAGCCTGTATTTCAAAACGCCTTATAACGTCACTGCTGCGTCATTTATTTGCCAACCTCCCAAGTACTTTACTTGATATGTAATTATTTTGTGAAGCAACTTTTAAAAACGCTGTTTGTAGTAATACATTTGTAATTAAGTATAAATTTAACATCTATAACACGCACACGCCCGCACTGTACTGTATGTATGTATGTAAAGTGCATTGATGATGAACACTCGCGTGATTCGCGTGGAGGAGTGGGCGTGTAAAAATATCAGAATTCCCTCGCGCGTCGTGATGCTCCTCGTGACCATGAATCACTGAATCACGCCACGAAACCCACCACCGCAACTATCCTCAACCCCCACGAACGCGTTTTGTCTCACGCGTGAACCCAGCGACATTAAATTCAGCAGCAGCGTGGAAATATGACTCGCGCGAGCGGAATCCAGCTACGCTGGGGATGTTTCACGCGCGCGGTGTCTTATATGGTGCGTAGATGCATAAATGTTTCATGTATGTGCAGTAAATTACTGTCTACTTCAGGTGTTACTTTATTCATAGTATTTCTTTTATTAATGCTGCATTTGCTGAATTGTTTAAAATAGTATTTAAAGCTAATGCCGTTAATATTCAATTGCTTTGTGTTTTATGATTGCGCATAAATGCAGTCTTACGTTGAGAATAAACTTACACCTTTTAGTTTAAATATTATATATGATGGCTTTCTTTTACATATAGGATAAGATGTACTGACATACATTTTCATGCCTTTACAAGAAATTAGGCTGGTGTTTTTGTTGTACTTAAGAGTTTGATGAATAACATACTGAAAGAGAGTAGTGCCCACATGGCCAAAGGCATGAGTTCCTCCCTGACAAATGATTGATCTCAACAGCAGTGGGGGCCCTTGCATAACTTTGCATGACATGGTAGTTCTGTCAGGGTATGAAGTGTCACCGGAGCCTTTCCTGGAGAAGCAGACATCAGTCGAGGGGTTTGGTCAGCAGGTGCTGCTGGAACAGCAGTTACGTAGCAGCTGAAACTCTGTGTGGTGTCCAAGTAGGGGAATGAATGATTTCTTTTACCGCTGTAATTTTACACCTTTCGACAAGAGCAATCCATGAGACGCTGACGAAGATAAAGGCAATTTTCAGCTGTCCTTTTACTATGTTCCTCTCCTTGGCTTTTTGCTGGGGTTTGTGAAATGTGTTTAATGTGGGGTTTCAGTCCACACAGTGTTGATGGCTGTTTCACGCTTATCTGCTCCACCTTCTGTCCTACAGGAAGTCCCTGAAGAGCACAAATTCAGAAACAAATAAAGGGATCTAGAGAAAGTGCGAGGGAGGGGTTGAGTGAATGGAGATGTGAAGAACATGAATGAGTCTGAGTGCAAGACAGTTTATTCCTAGAGCTGAGAGCTGATGGCAACAAGAAATGACATCAGAGGGGGAGGAATTGAGAGAAAAAGAATAACTCTAAAATAAATATGAGTGCCGTGGTGTCTGGATGTTGCTGGGTGGTTGCTAACGGATTCTGGGTGGTTGCTAGGATGTTCTGAGGGGTTGCACGCAAAAACAAACAGCTCCACCTCTGTAGTCTGATTCACAAACAAATGACTCTTATAGGTCAAATTAATTGGTTCTTTTAATAAATCGAGCAACCAACTAGCACAAGTAAAAAAAAAATGAATTGGTTCTCTTAATAATTCTAGCAACTGACACAAGTAAAAAAAACATGTTATACGCAAAAACAAACAGCACCACCTGTAGTCTGATTCATGAAGAATTTACTCATTAGTCGAATTGGTTCTTTTAAAGGGGTCATATGATGCGATTTAAATTTTTCCTTTTGAATCATCGCTCCGGCCTGACAGGGCATCATCACAATATGACTAGGGCGTAACATTTCCGTCTCACGCTTGAGGTAATCTTGCCAATCACAACGCACTAGATAGCTGGCCAATCAGAGCACACCTCGCTTTTTCAGACCGATGAGCTTTGTAAAAATCGCGTTTCAGAAAGGCGGGGCATAGAGGAGAAACAATAATGTACAGTATGTGGAAAATAATGTGTTTTTTGAACCTTAAACCGCATAAACACATTTCATTACGCCAAATACACAAAATACTGTTCTTTTTAGCAGCATCATATGACCCCTTTAATGAATTAAAAACAAACATGATCAAGAAACGAACATTCATGAAGAAATGACTCTTATTAGTCAAATGAATTATTCTTTTAATGAATCGAGCAACTGGCACAAGAAAAAACACTGTACACACAAAAACAAACAGTAAAACCTATGTAGTCTGATTCACGAACAAATTACTCTTACAAGTCAAATGAATTGGTTCTTTTAATGAATTGAGTAACTGGCACAAGTAAAAAAAAACATGTTACATGCAAAAACAAACAGTGTCACCTATGTAGTCTGATGATTCACAAACATATGACATTCTTTTAAAGGGTTAGTTCAGTCAAAAATGAAAATTAGGCTGCGTTTCACTCACCCTCAAGTCATCCTAGGTGTATAAATTTGTTGTTAACCTTGTTCTAATGTTAATGAATTTAGAGTTTTCTAAATAAACAACTGTGTGCCCAAGGTAAGTCATTTGCATAAAAAACCCTGCCCAAACCATCCCCATATAAGGGCTTTCCACACAACCTTTCATCACTCTTAGCAAACATATGAAACTCTCTAAAGAAGAGCTCTCGCCTGAGAACATACTGCAAGATTCTTGAGCAAGGCTAAGTACATGTGCTCTAAACCAGTTCAAATGAAATAAACTCTTTTAATGCAGATGAATCATAATTTTTTAATCACAATCTTTGTATGCAGATTTCATGCATAAATTTGTGCGTATGCATGATTAGTGAATGGGACTCAATGTGTGTTTCTCTCCTCAGGTGTGTTTAAGGTGCCGGGGCGAGGCATCATGCGATCTACTTGAGCGTGATTGTTCCAACTGGAGGTTACAGGATGCCGGTGCAGGCAGCTCAATGGACTGAGTTTCTATCCTGCCCCATCTGCTATAATGAGTTTGACGCCTGCAGCCACAAGCCCATCAGCCTGGGCTGCTCGCACACCGTCTGCAAGACCTGCCTGCACAAACTGCACCGCAAGGCCTGTCCATTTGACCAGACGGCCATTAGCACTGACATTGATGTGCTGCCTGTCAACTGTGCCCTCCTGCAGCTGGTGGGGGCGCCGGTGAGTGGGGCATGCATATATAATCGATATGATTGCTTTTGATGTTTTGAATAGCTCAGGAAATCTAGTGTTGCTGTCTTTCTGGGGACTGTTTCAGTAAGGAGGTTCAACCAACTCTGAGTTGACTTACCCTGTGATGGGAAACTCTGCATTTTTTCGGGTTCAGAACAACTAAATTGAGGTAGTTCAATCAACTCTGAGTAGATTGACTCTGAGTTTAGCGTGCGCCATGATCAATGGAGCTCCGAAATTATGATTCACCATGGCAACAGCACCCGACAAAATGACGTCCGCATACTTCCAAGTCAATACGTAACAAACATTTGACATATTAAATAAATGTCATTCAGGGTCTATTTCAATGTGCAGCAGCTTTTTCCACATAGTCTAATGCTTTTTTCACATAATTAAATGTTTTCTAATCCAAAATGATGCATTTCTTAATTAGAGTAATGAAATTAACATTTGACTTCTACTCAGCCAACAGCAAAATAATGACGAACAGATGAAGAGGAGATGGCCAAACCAAGTATTGGAAGAATATTAAAATCCAACAGGAGAAAGAATAACTGTTGCTTTTGTATTTGTAGGAAATAAAAAATGACCAAATAAATGTAACAGCTGTGGTGGTGGTTACAGCTTATATCTCAAACTACCCTTCCTTCTGGCATCCTTCCATTCCATACAGTAATCAGCTTCATTTTTGATGGGTTTGTGCTCAGGAAACTACACAAAAATTCTCATAAAGAGCGTGAGAGCGAGACACACTTTCCTTACCACTCTGCAGCGGCCTTACTAATGTGCTCAGCAACCCTAATGTTGTATAGAAAACTACCATTTAAAAATGGTACCGCTCAAATAAATATGCATGTGGATATGGCAAAAAAAAATCAAAATAATCCTCTCCCGATGTAAATGTAAATCCCTACGAATTAATGCAGCCTCCTCATCTACAGGAACCTGCATAAAAGGACATGCCGTTTTTGTCACTTTCATAGTGTCTGCATGATGAAAATATGTGCAATGAATGAATGTACCTGCACTGCAAAAAATGTAAGTTTTCACTTAACCTCCTTTCTGAAACGGGCCTCAGGGCTGTGAATCTCAAAACCCATTTTTTGTTGTTTTATTGTCAGTGTCTTAACCTTACGTAAAGTCTTACAAGAAATGAATTGAAATGTAAAGTACACTAACACAAGAAATAATTACAATAGTTACTTCAAATGGTAATTGATACTTTTTGTCTCGCAATTTTTATTTTTAAATCCTGAGAAAACTGAATTGTGAGATTTGAACTTGCAGTTCTAAGAAAAAAGTCAGAATTGCAAGATATAAACTCCTGCAATCTCCAGTTTACATATCGCAATTTGGAGGTTATAACTCAAAATTTTGAATTTATTTCTCCCAATTTTGAGTTTGTTTCCCAATTCTGACTTTTATCTCACAATCAGATTTTATATCTCAATTCTGAGTTTATATTTCTCAATTCTGAGTTTATATCTCGCAATTCTGAGTTTATCGTACAATTCTAAGTTTATATCTCACAATTCTGAGTTTATCGTACAATTCTGTGTATATCTCGCAATTCTGAGTTTATCGTACAATTATAAGTTTATATCTCGCAATTCTGAGTTTATCGTACAATTCTAAGTTTAATTCTCACAATTCTGAGTTTATCGTACAATTCTGAGTTTATATCTCGCAATTCTGAGTTTATCGTACAATTCTAAATTTATATCTCGCAATACTGAGTTTATCGTACAATTCTAAGTTTATCTCACACAATTCTGAGTTTATCGTACAATTCTAAGTTTATATCTCACAATTCTGAGTTTATCGTACAATTCTAAGTTTATATCTCACAATTCTGAGTTTATCGTACAATTCTGAGTTTATATCTCGCAATTCTGAGTTTATCGTACAATTCTACTTTTATATCTCACAATTCTGAGTTTATTGTACAATTCTACTTTTATATCTCACAATTCTGAGTTTATCGTACAATTCTGAGTTTATATCTTGCAATTCTAACTTTTTCCTCAGAATTCTGAGTTTATATCTCATAATTCTTATTTTTAAAAGTTTATATCCCACAATTCTTAGTATATATCTTACAGTTCTGAGTTTATATCTCGTAATTCTAAGTTTATATCCCACTATTCTTAGTTTATATCTTACAGTTCTGAGTTTATATCTCACAATTCTTAGTTAATATCTCGCAATTCTGAGTATATATCTTGCAATTTAGTTTTTTGTTTCCTCCATGAAATTAAAAATAAAGGTAACTGCGAATTTATACCGTAATTCTGACTTTTCTTCTCAGATCTGCAAGAAAAAAGAATTTGAGATATAAAAAAAGTCCAAACTGTGAGAAAGCTATTATCATAACATAAAACAAAAATTATTTACCATAAATTTTCTTATGTAATGTAAATTATTACATTTAATTAACTTCTTAGTGTCTTATCAGGATTCCCAATTATTATTATTTTTTAAATGGTTTCGGGTTATGTAATAATTTTCTTCCTCTAATATTTTCACTTTGCTTCACTCCAAACAGGCAATTTTCACCAGTGACCATTATGCTGTTTAACATTGACGTCACAATGTCATAAATAGATCTCTTCTGGTGGTGTTTCATATCTACCAATGGTTGTTTTTCTGCAGGTTCCGGAGGGAGAGATTGTGAGTGTGGGCAGTGTTGAAGACACGAGACATTATGAAGTGTGCAGGATCTGTGTGGAGGAGCTGGCGCTGTATCTTAGACCAATCAGTGGAGGAAAAGGTGAGTGTGTCATACAGGTAGATCAACAACAATGCCTGTGAGTGCTGCGTTATTGTTTAGGCTTGCGGCTGAATGAGCTCACGTTTGAATAGCGCAACATTTCCTGTTCAGCGGCTACGTGTGCTTTATCTGTCTGTGGTTGGAGATGTTTGCGTCAGTGGGAAAAACAAAAAAACACTGAAACCCAAAGGCCACTTCAGAAACAAGAGAAAAACATGCAGGTATTTTATATGCAATACATGCAATGAAATACACTGAAAAAGTAAATGTTTACAATATACATTAATGTTTAGTGATGTTTATTAAAAGTAAAATGAAAGCAATAAGCACATTGTATCTCACAGTGCATTTTCGTACATTATTGCATATCAGGAGCTGGTGTTACTTATTATTCACAGAATAATTTCCCACTGTGTTGAACACGAGAACTGCTCTTTGTAGGCCAATAAAACACTTGGTCTTCATGAGCAATAAAGCTCCAGGCCACTCATGGTCTCAGCTGCTGTGAGCGGAAAAGTGTGTTTCAGGACTCAATTGACTATTTTATTGAGGTAACAATAAAAGTTACTCCTCGCAGCGGACTAGTGGAACGCTAAAGCTCTTAAACTCCTCATTGAGCTTTGAGCTCATAACAGAGCTCCTCTGCCAAGCCTCCACTATTATGCTGTGGTGTAGCCATAAGACTCATGAGACTTTTACCCTCATGATGGAAGTAGGATCAGTAGTAGATTTAGTGTATTAGTAGGTGAACTGTGGGGAAAACTAAATGACAGGTCCTCAGTAGACCCATGCAGAGGAAGCTGGTGACCCTGGTGAACTGCCAGCTGGTTGAGGAGGAGGGGCGAATGCGTGCAGTCCGGGCGTGCAGATCTCTGGGTGAGCGCACCATCACTGAACTGATCCTGCAGCACCAGAACCCACAGCAGCTCTCCGCTAACCTATGGGCCGCTGTGCGGGCACGCGGCTGCCAGTTTCTAGGACCTGGTGAGTTGCATACACATGTGTTGTACCATTTCTTTGCACTGCTTCATTTTATTATTCATCATTCAAGATACATACCTGGTTATTTTCACATATTTTGGGTTATTTACAACTTCAATTCATGTCATGACCAGAAAAAAGTAAATCTGATTACTTTCATTTGCAAGAGGATGCTATGAAGGAAAGTGGAAGGGGTGTGACATAAAGGAGCAGGGTTCTGGAATTATATCTGTAGCACATGACCAGAAGCTTTGGAAAAGTAGTTCCACTTCAAAAGGACAATAAGATGACTTTATAGCTGCATTTTGTGCTGAGTTCATATTTCTTCTTTTAAAAGTGTCAACTGTTTTTCAAAGGTCAATGCTGAAGTGATATCTAGAGAGCAGGGTATAATGCAGATAACACATAATAAAAAATTTAATGACCGTGAATGAGATTTACACAAAAAAAGAAAATGTATTATTCATTGACAAGTCTGTCGGTAGATTAGTAGACTAAGGTGAGCAATGTTTGTCCTAATGTCTAAAGTGGCTAAAGTTGCTGGAGCGCTATGATAGTTTTTTTTTGTATTAAATATATTTTGTAGTTTTATTAGTTTTTATTTTATATGCTTTTTTAAAAATAATATAATATATAAAATACCATTCAGAAGTTTGAAGTCTGAAAGATTTTATTTTATTTTTAAAGAAATTAATGCTTTTATTTGTCAAGGATGCATCAAATTGATCAAAAGTGACAGTAAAGATATTTATAATGTTTCCAAAATATTTCTGTTTCAAATAAATGCTGTTCTTTTGAAAGTTGAAGTGAAAAACAGTTATGATGTTTACACAAAAATATAAAGCAGCAAAAGCTGTTTCCAACATTGATAATAATAAGAAATGTTTCTTGATTTTTTTTTTTTTTACAAATTATTTTATTTAGTATTTTGTTTGTAAATTGCAAATGTTTTTTATTTTAGGTAATGAAAATATTTTTACATAGCTGATTCTGATAATCTCAAAGTGCCAAAATATCATTTGCCTGGCTGATAAGTCACTAGTTGCAAGTTGTAAATAATCTGAAATATTCCTTTAATGCATGTAAAGGGAATATCCAAATGTGTGTTTGTACTTGGCTGTCAGTGATGATTACTCATAGGGCAGATTCTGACTGGGAAAACACTGATTTTCCCATCTGATCTCATTTGAGTTTTCTAGTCTGAGAACATCCAGAGCATGAATCCATTCATCTGACGTGACCAAGCACACATTGATCCATCTCAACACTAACTATGTGTCTCTGTCCGTATATATATATCGCAGCCATGCAGGAAGACGCTCTGAAGCTGGTGCTGCTGGCTCTGGAGGATGGCTCTGCTCTCTCGCGGAAGGTTCTGGTGCTGTTTGTGGTGCAGAAACTGGAAGCACGGTTCCCTCAGGCGTCTAAGACCAGCATTGGTCATGTAGTGCAGCTGCTGTACCGTGCCTCCTGCTTTAAGGTCAGAGCTAAAATCAGCTTCATGCAGCGAATGCGCTAAAACCGCTGATTACTTAACAGCTATTACGCTCAGTACTCCATCTATGTCGACTAGTCAGGAAAAGAGTTATCTGATGTGTTAAGCCTGCTGTAACATGATATTATGTGGATATAAAGTGCTTGGCAATGGGAATATCTATTAAACTCTTGATATGCATCCAGACTGCTTGATATTTGTATATGAGCTGGAGCTTGATTTACTGTGGCACCTTATGAAATCAGGAACTTAATGAGATCATTTACATCAGCAGTGTTTGTTTGGCTCAGTTGAGTGTGTTAACTATAGGGGCCTGTGCTAAATGTATATATGCACAGCGACAGACATTTCTCTTGATCTCTTTTCAGGTGACCAAACGTGACGAAGATTCCTCACTCATGCAGCTCAAAGAGGAGTTTCGCACGTATGAAGCCCTGCGCCGTGAACACGATGCTCAGATCATTCACATCGCCATGGAAGCAGGACTGCGTATCTCACCGGAGCAGTGGTCGTCTCTGCTGTACGGGGATCTCATGCACAAATCTCACATGCAGTCAATCATAGACAAGGTACCGCATGTATATTGCATAAATCATCAAAATTAGAATAAATATAATATAATATAATTTATTAAATATAATATATCACATAATAATTTAAAGATTTTAATAACAATGATAAGATTTTTGAATGCTCTTAATTTTCATGCTCACCATGTCTGCATTTATTTCATAAAAATAATAAAAAAAATAAAAAATAAAATATATATATATTAGGAATGGGAAGATTCACCAATTCGCATCAGTGCATCGGCATAAAAGTTAACGATGCAATGCATCGATTTGAAAAAGTGTGCATCGGCTACAAGTTGGCATTTGTATCGCGATGCATCGTTTCTAACATATTTGCATCGGTAAAAAACTATTTATTTATATATAATTACCAGTGGATGCGCTATACTTTTATTATTTAGAAAGTGACCAATAATCTGTGACCAATATTTTATATGTAGATTGATTTCTCCTCTCTGAGCTGTTTCTCAAGCGCGTTCTCTCATCACCACTACTTCTGCGTGAATCTAACAAATCAATTGGGGCGAAAGCGGGTGACCAATATTTTATATGTAGATTGATTTCTCCTCTCTGAGCTGTTTCTCAAGCGCATTCTCTCATCACCACTACTTCTGCGTGAATCTAACAAATCAACTGGGGCGAAAGCGGTTCCATAAACGACAAATTAAGTTCACGCAATCTCACTAATTTGTGCACGCTTATTTTTAAGCAGCCCTTAATGTCGATCATGGATCAAATCGATCCACCATGACAAACAGCAAATACATTTGTGCTGTTTAATGCATTTGAGACGTGTTTTCCTCAGTGCATAACTGACATGTCACATATATTTTTCATCTATAAATGTTAGAAAGTCATGCAAATATATCCATTTTGCTGTCAGGAGTGGGCAAGGCTTACACGAGACGAGTGAACGAGCGCTGCTGCGTGCTAAACAGATAAAGCGCAAACGAATAGGAGCGCAATAATTCTGAGTAAAATATACATTTTGCTAAAATATTTGTTGTTGAACATTAAATGTGTCTTCTGTAGAATTTTAAACCTACATACAAATGTATTTTTATGATTGCAGTAACTGTAAAGGGACCATTGTAATGGGTAAATCAAATATAAGCTAGTACAGTACTAATTACTAAGCTCTAACGAGTTAAAGGGGTCCTATTATGCTTTTTCACTTTTTCAACTTTAGTTAGTCTGTAATGTTGCTGTTTGAGCATAAAAAAGTTCTGCAAAGTAAAGAGTACTGAAAATTTGTACTTAAGTACAAGTACTGTTACATTGCTGAAATAATACTCAATTACAAGTAAAAGTACTGGTGTCAAAACAGTACTTAAGTAAAAGTACAAAGTACTCCTCTCAAAAACTACTCAGAGTACTAGTTACTAGTTACTTTTTAGTCTGCGATATTTAATGAATTACCAAAAAATATTCATTCATATCAAACATCTATGTGGATAATATCTACTTTGAACAAAACCCACTTTTATCTTGTTGACAAAGTACGTGAATTAGTGCAATTTATGGGCTAATTTTCAAATTGTGGGCGTACTCCGTAACGAACTATGATTTAAAAGTAACAAAGTAGATTATTTTGCTTAATTTGTACTTAAGTACAGCTTTAAAAATATACTCAAAAAAGTACAAGTACCCGAAAAAACTACTTAATTACAGTAACTTGAGTAGTTGTAATTCGTTACCTCCACCACTGAAAGTTACAAAGCTCAAAGTCCACTTCAAAAGGAGATATTTTATTTAACAGAAATCACTTTTCAAAAACTACAAGGAACGACTCGTTTGGACTACAACGCATATTTTCTGGGATTTGTGATATCACAAATATC